GTTTGTTGCTGCTGTTTGTCTCCTTTTGGTTGCTGCATGTGTCTCCGCTTGTCTTTGTTTTTTGTCTCTTGTTTTTGTTTGTCTCCTTTTTTCTTTTTTTATTATTTCTTTCTGCTGCTTCTTCTTTCTATCTGTCTCCTTTTTCTTTTTATTTGTTTTTTCTCTGTCTCCTTTTTTGTCTCTTCTTCTTTCTTTTGTCTCCTTTTCCTCCTCTTGTCTCTGCTGCAGCAGCAGCAGCAACAGCAGCAGCAGCAGCAGCAGCAGCAACAGCATCAGCAGCAGCAGCAGCAGCAGCAGCAGTTGCTGGCTGTTGTTTTCTGTCTCCTTCATCTCGCTCTCAGTTCTCTGTCTAGCTGCTGTTCCTTCTGCTGTCTCCTGCAGCAGCAGCAGCAGCAGCAGCAGCTGCTGCTGCTGCTGCTGCTGCTGCTGCTTTTGTCTTTGCTGCCAGCATCTGTCCTGCTGCAGCGCATCGTATCTACGCAGCTAAAACCCTAAACCCTAAACCCTAAACCCTAATTTGTGTATTTACTGGTTGTTTGTCTCCACTCCTTTTTTTAATTTTTTATTTTTTTTTATTTTTTTTTATTTTCTTTTTATTTTCTTTTTCTTCTTATTGCTGTTGTTGTTGCTATCGTGCTGCTGCAACTGCTGCTGCTCTTACAGCTGCTGCTGCTGCTGCTGCTGCTGCTGCTGCTGCTGCTGCTGCTGGGGGGTTGCTTATCCTAGGTGGACGTAGTTTAGGGGTTTGTTTAGGGGTCAGGGTTTAGGGTTTAGGGTTTAGGGTTTAAGGGTTAGGGTTTAGGGTTTAGTGTTAGTAGGTTTGTAGTAACTACCAGTGAAGAAAATCTTTATTTTTAGGGTTTAGGGTTTAGGGTTTAGGGTTTAGGGTTTAGGGTTTAGTCTGTATAGGGGTGCCTCAGCTGCACAGCTAAGAAGGGTTTCCTTTATAAATAAAAAAATATAAAAAACTTTATTTTATTTATTTATTTATTTATTTTAATAAAGAGATAAAGAAACAACAGTCACAAATACAGGCAGAGCTGTATTCTGTTGGATGAGGGTTTAGGGTTTAGGGTTTAGGGTTTGGGGTGGGGTCACCAGTATGCGGAGGGTTTAGGGTTTAGGGTTTAGGGTTAAACTCTTTTTTTCTTGATTAAACACCAGAAAATAAATTTATAATTATATTTATAGTTTATAAATTGCTTTTACGCTTTATTTTGATGCTTCTAGGGTCTAGGGTTTAGGGTTTAGGGTTTAGGGTTTAGGGTTTAGGGTGCCGCTGCGGTGTATGCAAATGCAGTAAAAGAGAAGAAATTTCGACGAATTAATAAATTAATTTAAATTATTTTAATTTATTTTAATTTATTTTTATTAATTAAAACAAATTCATCAGTTATTTCGGGTGTCACTGCAGCTCACCCACCGGTGCAGCAGCAGAGAACCACTGGACCGAGGGTTTAGGGTTTAGGGTTTAGGGTTTAGAGATTAGGGTTTTTTATTTATTTTTATATGAAATTAAATATATAAAACGCCAAGAAATAAACTATAAACCCTAAACCCTAAACCCTAAACCACCGCAACACCACCCACCACCAGCACCGACCAACACACCCACCACCGGGGGGCCTAAACCCTAAACCCTAAACCCTAAACCCTAAACCCTAAACCCTAAACCCTCAACATAAAACATTGAGTTATAACCCCTAAACCCCTAAACTTTAACTTTAAACCCTAAATCCTAATTTGTAAACCCTAAACCCTAAACCCTAAACCCTAATTTTTCAGTTGTCTGTACACCGCGGAGCCTTCAGGGGGCCATCAGCAGCAAACACACACAGAGTATGCAGCTGCACGAGAAGAAGCAAAAAAAGTAGCAGCAGCAGCAGCTGCAGCAGCAGCTGCAGCAGCAGCTGCAGCAACAGCAGCTGCAGCAGCTGCAGCAGCTGCGACGCCAGCAGCGGGGGCCAAAGGGCGGCTAGAGTAAATACCCCGACCCCAGCAGCACCAACACCACCAGCAGCAGCAGCAGCAGCAGCGGCGGCAGCAGCAGCAGCAGCAGCAGCAGCAGCAAGGATGAGCTGGCGAGACAAGGAGGTGTTTGCTGCTGCAGCTGAGGGGAGACGAAGAGCAGCAGCAGCAGCAGCAGCAGCAGCAGCATACGAGCAGCAGCACAGCAGCGGGCGTTCCTTTGGCTTGTCTACCCCCCGCAGCAGCAGCAGCAGCAACAGCAGCAACAGCAGCAGCAGCAGCAGCAGCAGCAGACTGAGGAGCTTCCGTAATGGCTGCGACAGAAGCTCAAGGGGCAGCAGAAGCTGCAGCAGGAGGTGCAGCAGCAGCAGCAGCTTGCAGCTGCACGAAGATAGCCGTTCTGCTGCTGCTGCTGCTGCCGCTGCTGCTGCACCTCAGATCCGCAGCAGCAGCAGGATGATGAGGTGCAGCAGCAGCAACAGCAGCAGCAGCAGCGGCAGCAGCAGCAGCAGCAGCAGCAGCAGCAGCAACACCACTGGCCTCGGACGCACCGCTAATAGCGGGCGGTCTGCGACTGATGCTAGCCGAGGCATTGCTGCTGCTGCTGCTGCTGCTCCTGCTGCTGCTGCTCCTGCTGCTGCTGCTCCTGCTGCTCCTGCTGCAGCTCCCGCTGCTTCTGCCCGTGTTGCTCCACCTCCTGCTGCTCGTGCTGCTGCTGCTGCTGCACCTGCTGCTGCTGCTTCTGCCCGTGCTGCTCCTGCTCCCGCTGCTTCTGCTGCTCCTGCTGCTGCTGCCTCCGGTACTCGTGCTGCTGCTGCTCCTGCTGCTGCTGCTCCTGCTGCTCGTGCTGCGGCTACTGCTGCTGCACCTGCTACTCGGGCTGCTGCTGCTCCTGCTGCTGCTGCTCCTGCTGCTCGTGCTGCTCCTGCTGCTCGTGCTGCTCCTGCTGCTGCTGCTGCTCCTGCTGCTGCTGCTCCTGCTCGCGCTGCTCCTGCTGCTGCTGCTCGTGCTGCTGCTGCTCCTGCTATTCGTGCTGCTGCTGGTCCTGGTGTTTCTCCTCCTGCTGCTCCTGCTGCTGCTCGCACTGCCCCTTCTGCTGCTGCTGCTGCTGCTGCTGCTCCTGTTCCTGCAGCAGTTGCTGCCGCTCCTGCTGCCGCTGTTGCTGCTGCTCCTGCGGCTGCTCCTGCTGCATCTCCAGAGTCTGCTGCTGCTGCTGCTGCTGCTGCTGCTGCTGCTGTGCTTCCTACCCCGATGGGGCGGACCCGCAGCAGCAGCCGTGCAGATAGCAGCAGCAGCAGCAGCAACAGCAGCAGCCGCAGCAGCAGCATAACTCGCAGCTTTCAGCAGCGCCGATGCCGCGTTGCTGCAGCAGACGCAGCAACCACTCCTGCTGCTGCTGCTGCTGCTGCAGCAGCTGCTGCTGTGGTATCTTATGCAGCAGCAAAGTCAGCAGCAGCAGCAAAAAACGCAGCAGCAGCAGCAGCAGCAAAACCAGCTGTAGCATCACCAACAAGGGGCAGGAGACGGACCAGACCCCGTGCTGCTTCAGCAGCAACTGCAGCAAACGATGAAGCAGCAGCAGCAGCAGCAGCAGCAACACCAGCAGCAGCAGCAGCAACACCAGCAGCAGCAGCACCAGCAGCAGCAGCAGCAACACCAGCAGCAGCAGCAGCACCAGCAACACCAGCAGCAGCACCAGCAACACCAGCAGCAGCGCATGCAAATACGCCTTCTCCTAGGAGTAATAGAGGTAAGCCCACGTGCTGCTGTCTAGGCTGTGCTACTGCTGCTGCTGTTGCTGTTGCTGCTGCTGCTGCTGCTGCTGCACTCTTGCTGCTGCTGCTGCATGCTTGCTGCTGCTGTTGCATGTTTGCTGTTGCTCAGGCAATTCGAGTGTACGTACATACCACCCCCTCCAACGGTAGGTGCTGCAGCAGCAAAACCTCGTCAGCCCAGTTGCTGCTGCTGCTGCTGCTGCTGCTGCTGTTGCTGCTGCTGCTGCTGCTGCTGCTGCTTCGCTTCAATCCTGCAGCACCAGAGATGTGTGATGTCTGTTCTTTTTCTGTTGTTGTTTTATTTTTTACTATTTCTCTTGCTGCTACTTCTTCTGCTTCTGCTGCTGCTGCTCCTGCTGCTGCTGCTGCTGCTGCTCCTGCTGCTGCTGCTGCTGCTGCTGCTGCTGCTGCTGCTGCTGCTGCTGCTGCAGGCATTTTCGGATGGATTCTAGCCGTTTATTTTTGTCTGGTTTAAAGGAAGCAAGACAGGTGGAGGGACTAAGCGAGTTTTTGCTGCAGCAGTTTGGGGGGCAAGAAGCTGCTGCTGCTGCTGCTGCTGCTGCTGCTCCTGCTGCTGCTGCTGCTGCTGCTGCTGCTGCTGCTGCTGATCAAGAGAAGCCCGAGGCTATCCAGAGAAGAAGCAGCAGCATAGGGAGTGACATCCGCAGCAGCCCATGCACCCAACAGCAGCAGCAGCAGCAGCAGCAGGAGCAGCAGCAGGAGGAGGATGAATACAACAACAGAAGCAGGAGCCGCAGCCGCAGCAGCAGCAGGAGCAGCAGCAGCAGCAGCAAGTATGCTGAGTCTGAGAGCGATGGAGAAGGATGGGATGATTACGGGAGAGAGAATTCGTTGTCTTTGTGTCTTTCTAATATAAATGAGGAGCCCTTTGTCTTGCTGCTGCAGCAGCTGCAGCAGCAGCAATACCCTAAACTAAGACATCTACAAATAGATCTCATCGCTATGCGCTGGACTGAACCACTCATTCAGCTGCTGCGGTATCTTCCTGCTGCTGCTGCTGCTGCTGCTGCTGCTGCTGTTGCTGCTGGTGTTGCTGGTGTTGCTGCTGTTGCTGCTGCTGTTGTTGCGCGTATTTTGATGCTAGTCCGGGTGTTTCAACCCCAGTATTTGTTCTGCTGCTGCTGCTGCTGCTGCTGCTGTTCTGCTGCTGTTGCTGCTGTCCTGCTGCTGTTGCTGCTGCTGCTGCTGTTCTGCTGCTGTCGCTGCTGTTGCTGCAGCTGCTGCAGCAGTTTCTACTCTCATATAAGTTGCGTGTATTTGTGTGTTGCCTCTGCTGCCCCTGCTCCTGCCCCT